TGGGGGGCAGGAGGGCGTTCCTGCTGGCTGGGGGCCTGCTGAACGGGGATGGCACCGAGGCCAGAGGAGGAACACGCCAGTCGCTTTGCCTGCAACACCTGGACGACCCCATTCGGCATCGACTCATAACAGACGCACCAGCAGCAGGGTGGAGGCTGGCAATGGGGACGGCCACTTTTATGCTGGCGTTGTTTTGGGCTGGCTTAAGAACAGGTGGAGAAGCGTTCTTTGACTCAGCAAGAGGAGAGGTTGAACGAGTGGTCTGCAGTGCTGCTATTTGTGTTGTGTATGTAGTTTTGAAAGCTAATGGGCTTCATCGTTTATGTCAGCTGGCCTCAGCCCAACAGGTGTCGTTCTGTTTTCTCTTTCCAGGGGGTGACGCTGACTCTGTGGTCAACGTGTGGCCTCTCTCGGGGTGGCGTGTACGCAGAGTGGCAGGGAGTTATTTGCACAGGCGAAAACAGCTCAAAGGTCCAGGTTGGTGGAGGAACCCAATGTTCTGTTGAAACAAGTTGGCCAGTGGGTCACTCCGGGTCATGAGAAAGCAGTTCTAAAGGCTACGGGTAACGATCGTAACCAGAGCGGAATACTAGATTTATACAGCTGCCCAATTTGTAAAGCGATTCTCGGTGACTAACAGTTTGTAGAAGCATGAAAACAAGGAAGTAAAAATAAAATGCAAGTAACCAAGCGGACTGAGTTCCTACAACTTGCTAAGCAGCTACAAAAAGACCAATATATCTAAAACTAATCCAGATTCACAGGTTGTGCAAAAGGTGGTGGCCAGGTTTTTAGTAGACCTGGTTAATCATGTTGTGTGAGCACAGCCCGAGGTAATGAGTGTTTCTTGGGGGGGGGGACTCTTTTTGCAGAAATACCTCCAGCAGCTGTGGAATGCCATCCTGCTCATCGCACTAATCCTGTGCACAGGTGTGATTGTGCAGGCCCAGCGCCAGTCCCGGCACAGTCAGTTGGACCAAGACTCCGAGGTGGGCCTGCTCTTGGCCTCTGGGCTCCCTGGCTCAGCTCTTGCGGGGCGATCTTATTGGCAGGCCTAATGCTCATCTCCCCTCTTGCAGCTGGACCTCAAACAACACATTGCACAGAAGCTGTTGGCATTGAAAACCAGGCGTTACCATCCTGGCAGACCGCCCCGCAGCTGGGCACATGAGATTGACAGCTGTGCCATCTGCCTGGACCAGTTTCAGAAGAATCAGGTAGCTCTAGCTGCAGAGGGCTTCTCGAACGCACCTCCACAGCTTGCGTGGCTTCTGAGCGTAGGAAAAGTCTGTCTGGTGGCCCTATTTCTCCATAACGAACAGGACACCGTTTCATTCAGTTTCCCAACTTTCTGGATTTCTGTGACACACTGAATTACCAACTAATACTACAGGCGAAATATGCACTACACACTAGGCTAGCATGGTTACTAGTTTGGGTTTAGCGTATCAAGAAAATGCCACCGTTGCACACCAAGATCTTGAATAATGTTTGAAAGTTGCAGGGTCCTCCCGTTCCCTGCGTGAACCCAGGAACCCACATATTTCCTGGCTTCCTTGTTTCATGATTAAGAAATATTATCTGTTACTTTGGTTGATTGTTTTTTATCCTTTAATGGTCCTACCTACTTTTTTTTTTTTTTTTAAACTACTGGGTTCTGTTTTTAGTATATGTCTTTCTGCGAGTGGCATTTCAAAAAATGCATCTTGGGCACAAGATCTTCCACAGTGATGCCTGTCACTGTGTGTAGAGTATCAGCAAAACATGTTGCTGGCTTTAGACCAGTGTTTCTCAACCTCAGCAAGTTTAAGATGTGTGGACCTCAACTCCCAGAATTCCCCAGCCCACGTGGGGAATTCTGGGAGT